TTCGAAGATCGGCCTGTACTAAGCATGATATCGAGTTTTGAAAACATATGTGTTCTTATTCCGGTTATTAGAATTCCAATAACCTCCAGATATGATCTAATATATCCTAAGTTTCAAACCCAATTGGTTTCACTTGATTTGCTTATCAAAATAATTATCTACAATTTATTATATCCAAACAGGTTGTTTTCTGTAGCACTTTAAAGAAATTGACGGTTCTCTTAATATACAAGAGCAATCAATGCAAGGCCCAAAACGTACGAAACTAAACTCGTAACTGGTCCTAATGACACTAATTTGATAATTTTTGGATTTATACCCAAAGAGAACAACACTCCCGAATTTACTGTTTCGAACAGGTTTCCTGGACAGGTTTGAATACCTCAATTTATATGGATTTCGACTCCCAAAAATTATGAAAAAAATCAGATATGTAATTGATCTACTGTAAAAATTTCAGATTAAAATTCATCTGTTTGATATGGTTTCTTGATTTTTAAAGTTTGCGATTCGGTGTAGAATTTTTGAACTAAGAATTACACCCATTCTTTACACATAAATTTAGCTCCTCAGATTTCTTAACAGTGTATACATATATATACAAAATCCATAAACCTACAACCTCTCCATGAATGAATAAAATAATTATAGAATAGGGATGAAGAACAAAGAAAGAAGATAAGAAAACCAAGGAGGGCTAACATTTGATGATCACACACAACACAACACACCCAAAAGTTCTTTGATTGCAACATCTTCTTCTTTTTTTCCTTCTCTCAATGAAAAACTGTTGTTTTGGTCAAAACATGGTGCAAGGTTTGTAGGCTTTTGAGGCTCAAAATCGAGGCTTTCTGTTGAGGAAATTGAGCATTTGACAAGCGTATAAATTCATCATCAGGTGATCGATCGGTGGCGTTCAAGTCTTAAGGGCGGTAAAAAATGGGGTGTTTGCAGCAACCATTAAAGTGGTAGAGTCTGGGAAGCCTTCGAAAGGTATGTTGTACTATGTATGTAAAAATGAGAGGTTTTGGGGGTGTGATTTTTGGGTTTGGTGCGGCCCAGTTGAATTTGCTGTCACCTATGGAAGAGATAATTTGCTCCCTTGGGGCATTAACATGTCAATGCCATAAAATAATCATAACCATTTATTTATGTGTGTCTCACATGATCCTGCACAAATGAATGGCTTGGATTATTTTGTTGCAATGCCACAAGCGGCCCAAATAGTTTTGGAAAATTACAATTAAGTATAAAAGGTTAAATGTAATTATAGGGGTAGAGTGCAACTCTTATTGTGAGTTTCTTGCATTAGGAAAGTTACAACCATTGTGTAATTAATTTTAATCTATAGCACTTAATTGTAATTTTTTCAATAATTTTCATTTGGAGTTGGATTCCCTCTCGTCGAGGGTGCTGTGTCCGAGCTCATGAGACTTACCATAGGTCCTATTTCGATAATTTGAATCATTCATTTTATAGGGTCATTCATACCTATTATTTATAAAAAAAAAAAATTAGGTTGATCTAATATTTATGGTATTTGTGTCTAAAAAAATGAATAACAAATGTGTTTTTAAAAATAAGCCTTTAATTTTGTGGCAAAGACTATAAATTGAATAAGTAATAATTATCGGGCTGATCTAATTTTTTTGTATGAATGATATATACAAAATACTATACAAAATAAACAGTTCGAATTGTAAAAATAAAATCCATGATAATCATATGGAAACGAGGAATTTGGATCCTCTTCTTAACCCTCAGTAGTGCTTCTTGCGAGTGACAACCCATATGGGGTCATGTCGCCCACGAAATGATGGATGGCTGAGATCTGTTGATTAAAAACAAAAAAACAAAAAATAAAAACAATTTTATCCAAAACGAAGCAGAACAATGATATAGAGAGAGGGACATGAACAGAAAAAAGAGAGAGAGAGAGATAGGGACACCAAGCAGAATGATGATAGAGGGAGAAGCACAACTACCGACAAGTTCTCCATCGTCCTCTACGGTCTACCATCGTTGTCCGTTGGAGAAAACCGAAGAGAGAAAAAGAAATCTTTTGAGAAGAAGGTTAGAGCTCAACCATTGTTGTCCACCAGAGCTTTCTCACGCCGTAGATTGAATCAAGTTCATTCTCCAAACTCGCTATTAGGGTTTTGATTCAGAAACTATATTTGAAATTAAAGAATTAAGGCTTTGATTTGGAGAATTTGGTTGTGCATGTTACAGTATGTTTGGATTGAGGGATTTGGTGAGCAAAGAAAAGAAATTGTAAGAATAGGAAACCCCTTCATTTATTTTGGATGATTAAGTATGTGAGAAATGATGAGAGATGGTGAGAAAATTGGTTTAATGAAACTTTTCCAATACCAAAATTACCATATAGTAGAAAAAATTGAAAAAAAACAGCTTATTAATATGGAATGCTATTTTGGTAAAATAAAACAAAACACTTTCTTTTATTTTCTCTTATTTATTATATCTAAACATGATAGGTGAAAAAAGTTATATTTTCTTTTCTTTTATTTATTCAAATACAATGGTGAGAAATTATAATAATTTCCTTTGTTTTTTTTACTTGGGTGAGAAACTACAATTATTTATTTTCTTTTTCCATCTCACGATCCAAATGGAGTGTCAATAATTCTGTATGGAAGATGTTTTCATAGTTGCAGCAAAGAATAGTGATGGGTTGGATTAGGATTTAGCTTCATATGGTTGAAGGTTTTATCTGTTACAAAAAAATTGAAGGAACATCCATGCCCACTTGCATTTTTTTTTTTGGTTTTGTATCTGCATATCTCTCTCTCATTCGTTTTTTCTTCGGTGTTTTGCCTCCTTTTTTTTTTTTTGGGTTTCAATCCCTCAAAACGGCGTCGTTGTGATTCTCACCAAAACCATCCAATTTGATTTTGTTTTTTATTTTTTCTCTTTTAAATCAATAGATCGATCTCAGCCGCTCATTTAGTGGCGGCGTGGCCCAATATGGGTGATCGCTCCGTAGCGAGCACCGCAAAGGGCTCAAGAAGAAAGGGCATCAACCTCCAATTCAAATTGAAACAAAAATGGGGGAATTACACTGACACGTTGTCAGTGAAAAATATTTACAAAAAATAAAATAAAATAAAAATCATTGTCAATATCAATAATTAAAATTAAACTAAGTTTGACATCTTCAAAAAAAAATTAAAAAGTCAAAAAGTCACTATCTTATTTAAGTCACATCACTTCTCTACTATATTACTTTAAACTCAACTCATATTTCATAAAAAATTAAAAAATACACTTATTTTATTTTATAAAAAGTCAAAAAGTACACTTATTTAGAATATTTCAAACAATTCCTAAATTTTTTCATTTTTATTATTTTTTTTAAAATAGTTTTTTCTACAGTTGTGTTAGTCCCCCCAAATAAATCAGTGACATTGTATTCTCCTCAACATCATAGCAATTTTGAGAGTGGTCTGTCACCCATGAACGAGTCATATGAATACCACCAGAGAGAGACCCACACTTTACAACTGAGAGCTCATAGAGTAGTTCTAGTTGTTGTTGATGACAGCACTTCCCTCTCACTCTCGCCCTTTCTTCACCAAACTCCTCCAATTCACCCACCAACAAAACCTCCAACAAGGCCAAGCCTTACACGCCCAGATTATCCTAACAGGTTCCTCTTCTTGCATATACATCTCCAACACTCTCATCAACTTCTACGCCAAGTGCAAACGCTTGACCCAAGCCAAGCTCGTCTTCGAAACCATACACAACAAAGACATTGTCTCATGGAACTGCCTCATCAATGGGTTCTCTCAACTGGGTTCTCCCTATTCTTCCTCCTCTGTCATGGACCTCTTCAAGCGCTTGATGAGAGCAGACAACTCCCACCCAAATGCTCACACTTTCGCCGGCGTTTTCACTGCCGTGCCGAGTCTTCTGGACCCTTCTGGTGCTGGGGAACAGGCTCATTCAGTGGCTGTCAAAATTGGGATTTGTTCAGATGTTTTTGTGGGCAGTTCTCTGCTAAATATGTACTGTAAAGTGGGTATTTTGTCAGATGCTCGCAAGGTGTTTGATAGAATGCCTGAGAGAAATTCGGTTTCTTGGGCTGCGATGATTTCTGGGTATGCTATGCAGCGGCTTTCTGCAGAATGTATGGGGCTTTTTAAATTGTTGATGGGTTTAGCGGAGGTGGGCGTGAATGAGTTTGTGTTGACCAGCGTTCTTAGTGCGTTTGCATTGCCTGAGCTCATTGAAAATGGGCAGCAAATTCATTGTCTTGGTCTTAAAAATGGCTTGTTATCGATTGTATCTGTTGGAAATGCTATTGTGACTATGTATGCAAAATGTGGGAGCTTAGATGATGCTCTTCAAACGTTTGAGTTGTTGAGCCATAAGAATGCTATTTCGTGGTCCGCAATGATCACTGGTTTTGCACAGTCTGGGGATTCTGAAAAGGCGTTGGAATTGTTTTCAAAAATGCATTTTTCTAGGATGATGCCTAGCGAGTTCACCCTTGTTGGAGTCCTCAATGCTTGTAGTGATATTGGTGCTTCTGGAGAGGGAAAGCAGGTGCATGATTATTTGGTAAAATTGGGATTTGAATCTCAAATCTATATCATGACTGCTCTTGTTGACATGTACGCAAAATGTGGTTGCATAGTAGATGCTAGGAGGGGTTTTGATTATTTACAAGAACCTGATATCGTTTTGTGGACTTCCATGATTGGAGGGTATGTGCAAAACGGGGAGAATGAAGATGCTCTGAATTTGTACTGTAGAATGCAAACGGAAGGTGTCTTTCCTAACGAGCTGACAATGGCTAGCGTCCTAAAAGCCTGTTCGAGCCTTGCTGCTTTGGAGCAAGGAAAGCAAATCCATGGCCGTGTCATTAAACATGGATTTAGTCTTGAAGTTCCAATTGGAAGTGCTCTCTCGACTATGTATGCAAAATGTGGAAGCCTTGACGATGGGAATTTGGTCTTTAGGAGGATGCCCATGAGGGATGTGGTCTCATGGAATTCGATGATATCTGGGCTTTCTCAAAATGGACATGGCAACGAAGCTCTTGAACTTTTTGAGGAGATGCGGTTTGAGGGAACAAAGCCGGACTATGTTACTTTTGTGAACATTCTCACTGCTTGTAGCCACATGGGATTGGTAGAGAGAGGTTGGATTTACTTCAATATGATGTCCATTGAGTTTGGTATACTCCCAAGAGTGGATCATTATGCTTGCATGGTTGATATGATGAGTCGTTCTGGGAGGCTCGAGGAAGCAAAAGAATTTATCGAATCGACAACTATCAATCATGGAATGTGTTTGTGGCGAATCTTGTTAAGTGGTTGTAGGAACTATGGTAATTATGATTTAGGAGCCTATGTAGGAGAGAAATTAATGGAGTTGGGTTCACAAGAATCTTCTGCTTATGTATTGTTGTCTAGTATCTATACTGTGTTGGGCAGAAGGGAAGATGTGGAACGTGTGAGAAGGATGATGAACGTTCGAGGGGTGAATAAGGAACCTGGGTGCAGCTGGATTGAGTTGAAGAGTCAAGTTCATGTATTTGTCGTTGGAGACCACATGCATCCGCAAATTAAAGAAATACGCGCAGAGGTTCGAAGATTAAGCAAGCTAATGAAGGATAAAGGCTACCAACCTGCTTCTGATTTACTTTCTGCTGATTTTCAAAGTCGAGATGATGGAGAAGAAAGTACATGTTAGGAGCAAGCATTTATTTATTCCATTTATTGGAAAATGACTCCATTTTCCCCCAATTTGTGAGGGCTTTATTTATTTATTTATTGTATACTATCCAAAATTTCGTGATTAATCATGATTCATAACCCCAGATGATTCTACTTAATGAAATTTCAGATGATTCAAGTCAAACTTCCTTCCCGTCCCCAAAAGGAATCCATTTCTTTCTCTTTCATTCAGGTGAAGATGCAGAATAGCATTTCTTTCTTGTTAATTTCCAAGGATTCATTGAGTTGCCCTATAGTTGACATGGTAAGACAAATCAAACTTAATCATTTTTGTCATGAACAGTTATTGTAGTCATTTCTTGATGTTTCAAGTAAGCTCATGATTTTGTTTCTATTCCCTTTCCCGCTTCATCAGTTGCCCAAGTGTTTTTATTTAATTGAATTCTTCATTTTACCCCAATATTTTGTATGTGTTAGTTTTCTGTAAACAACAAGAGTTAATCACAATTACCATCTCAATGCTTGTACTAAAATCTCATTATTTTTTTGGTACAGATGTGTATATTTCTTTGCCTAGGAGGAGGCAACATTCTTTCCATCATCCACACCATCATCTGCTTCTCCGCTGCTCTCTTCCTCCACGAAACACTGCCTCCCACCACCACTGAAGAAACTAAAGAACAACCACTCATTTTCCACTTTTTTAAAGTCGTGGCCATCATCGTAGCCTTCTATCTACTAGCATTCGATGTCTCCGGTGTTCATGGCCGCATGATTTGTTTAGTATTCACTGTCGGATTACTTATCCTCCTTGCAAGTCCACAGCTTGTTCCCCTGTACTTACATTGTAGTCATGCCTAACTCCAATTCAGATGCTGAAGCACAAATCAATGAGCCATTGTTTGTTGAGGAGGTTAGGAAAGATGAAGATGATGTTGTTGAGGTCAAGAGATGGCCGAGTATTGGAGAGGATTATACGATGTTTGAAGCAATGCAGACTTATGATTTTTGGGTGTTGTTGGTGTTCCTTCTTTGCAGGGTTGGGACAGGGATGTGTGTGATAGACAACATGGGACAGATGGGGAAGGACACTTGTGTATGATGATGTTTCCATTTTCGTGGCGCTTACTAGCATTGGGGGAAACTTTGGTCTCATCATTTCAGGCATGGTGTCCGAATACTATATCAGGTATAATATGATCACTCTTTGCATCATTGCTCATTAACATTACTACAATTTGTTGGAAACACACAAACACTTAGTCTGATCTTCCAATCCTTGTTTGCTATGTCATTCAGTGGAAGTCCAAAATGACTCATGGGATCAAGCAAGGGTGGGTAAATGACCTAAAAAACCTGCAAATCAAATTAACCTGACCTTTGTGAGTTGGGTTGATTCAGTTCTTAAAGGGTCACAATTTGGTTCTTAGTTCTTGGTTGATTTGGTTCTTAAAGGGGCACAGTTTGGTTCTTTATAGTCAGTGGGGGAGCCAAAATTTTGATTCATAGGGACATTATTGAGTTGTATCTCATGAGGCCAATCTCAATCCAACCGAATCCAATTCATTCGGTGATAGGAGGACAAAAAATAAGTGTTATGCCAAAATTATATGTTTCTTAATCAGTCATTTATGAACTCTATGGATTTTTAATCAGCCATTTATGAACTTTATGGATTCTTAAACAGTAACTCATCCTTTTAGACCAAATGAAAATTCTCTGAAAATTGGCCTTTTAGACCAAATGGGCAGCTTTTGGTTAAAAATGATTACATCTGGAACAAAGGTATGAATCACATAAAAAATTAGCCATCAATTCTAACTTTTCCAGCGCAGTAGAATACAGAGGGTTTCTTATCTAGTGCTAGTGCATCTGTTTTGTTGTTATGTATTATTAACTCCTACTTTCTTAATTTTGGGTTTCATTTAATTGTTTTCTTCTAAAACTTGCTTTTGCAATTTTAGGAATTGATAATTGAGCAATGGGAGAAGAATTATTAAATAAAATGTATTGTTAGATGCTCTTTGGTGGTGATGTCAGACAGTATGTCTTCCTTGTGATGTAGTTCTTGATAGATCTTCAATTTGATGGAATGACAACGTTAAGTTATGCTTGTGATTTATTTTATTTTAGTTTTCAGATGCTAGCTATTCCATTGCTAGGAGCTTTGCCTGGTGAGGTGGTGGTGATACTAATGCTGATGCCAAAGGAGAATACTAGTTGTTATTGGATTTTTAATTTTTAATTTTTTTTTTTTGGAATTATAGGACAATATTGTATATTTAATTACAATGCACCATGTACGTATTTATATTATAATTTTGGATAAATTACAAATACACCCCTAAGGTTTACTTGAAGTATATATAGCCTCTCGTAATTTGAAAAATTACAAATACTCCATTGTCAGAATTTTTTATTTAATAGAATTAATTAAAAAAATAAAATTCATAATTGCTCTCATATATAATAATAAAATTACCTAAATTATTAATTAAAATATATTTCTAATATCATTTAAAATTGTTGATTGACTTGATGATTTGTTAATAAAATGACCGTCGCAAAAAATAAGGGATTGCGCAGGTTTTTTGTGATGGCATGGGCCGTCGTTAAAGGTCTATTATTTGTGACGGTAATGATTATTGTCACTAAAAAGTACATTTTTTCTTTTTTTGTGACAGTTGACTGTTTTGGGCTAAAGTGCATTTGCGATGGTAAGTCACTTTTTGCCCCCACCCCTTTTTCGTCTTTCCTTTTTTCCGTCGTTACTCCATCTCAAGAGGCTTCTGCAACATCTGGTACAACTTTTGCGACAGTTTGATTCTGTCGCAAAAAATCTAATTTTTTGGTAACAAACAATGATTTGACCTGGTCAACGATTAGCCATTATCAATGCCTGTATTCTCCCAACACACAATTTATTAAAATTTTCTTAAGTTTTAACTTACATTTTATGCAGCCAACATATATGCCATTTGTCCAATTCTTAGGGCTTAGAGAAGGAAACAACTATGCACTTAGATGGACAAGTGTCCCATTTGAGGTGGTTGAGTAATAAATCCTAGAAAAAAGTTAAGTGGGCACAGGAGTGGGAGTTACAGGTTCTGACAAAGAAGATGAAAAGAATCACCATCAGAAATGTGGCAGGGTGGTAATCAAATGGAAGAATTAACTGATTGCACATGCAAAAGTCATGGCAAAAGTCCCAGCACCAACCAACAAATTCTACTTTTCAGCACTTCATTTTGGCACAAAGTCTATATTTTTTACATTCCATTGCTTCAGAAGTTTGGGATGTCTACTTAGCTTTTGTAACTTAGCTTAGTTGCAGTTTTTAGACTATCAAGATTTGTAAACACTTTCCGTTCATCAATGAAATTGTTCATTGCGTTTGTTTAGTTAATCTTCGAATTCTTCACTCGAACACATATTTAAAACAGTAAAGTCTTTTCCGTTGAGACAAAAAGAATTTTTTTAGTGTTTTCCCTTTCGCCACAAACTTTCATTTGATTTAGAAGTTAGAACTGAATGCACCACTCACTTTCCACTTGGATTGCATCTGATCTTGGCACGCCTACAATTCTACTAAACCATTTATTATTTGTGCATTCGAGATATAACATAGTGTTAAAGAGATACAATAATTAAGATTATTTTGATGATTCATTTGAAATTCGTACCCAATTTTGTTCGAAAATGAGGATTTGTATTTTCGTATATAAATATCATTGAAAGTCATTTTCGTCAAGGAAAAAGAATTTTAAACACATTCGCTTAATTTGGTTTTGGCGCAAATTAACTATGTAATTAAGGATTAAACTATCCTCGTTGATATGCTGACATTACTATATTGTCCTTTCAAAGGAAAAATAAACCCATAATAAAATTTTGTGAAATTTCACGAAAGTGAAGCCCAATTATCAGTAATTAATATTTTATTACTTGATTAAACAATGGTACAAAATATTTAAGCTATCTTATCTTATACTAATAAAGATTAGCATTAGAATTGATAGATTTCGTGTAGATTATGGTTACTGTTACTGTATAGAATAAAATTATACGCATAAATTGGTATATTGATTAATGTATTAACAGATGATGTGATATAATTTTAGAAGATTTAGATTTTTGTAATTTGTATAATGGGTGGAGTTCATAGTTTTGAAATGGTGATATCATAACATATGATGGTACACTAATTGGTATACCGATTGGTAAGTGTAGCACCACTGTACTATATATTATACAAAAAAGAAAAAAGTGCTTAAAAGTCTTAAAACATAACCCCCTAAGATGGTATTTGATAAAGTTGAAAATTAAAATTAAGTATTGAAAACTGAATACTTAATGTTTTAAACTGAAAAGTTATTTGATAAAAATTTAAGTACTGAACTAAAAATAAATTATTTAATGTGTAAAATCAAATTTTAAATTTATAAATCATATATTTCAATTTTTATATTGTGATGGTGGTAGTAATAGTGGTGGTATGATGGTGATGGTGATGGTGGTAGTGGTAGTGGTAGTAGTAGTGGTAGTGGCATGGTCGCGTTGATGATGGTGGCGGTGGCCATGGTAGAGTTAGCTATGGTAGTGGTAGCAAAATGATAGTAATATTTATGGCAATAATGATAACGTTAATGAAAGTGGTGGTGGCATCGTGGTAGTGGTGGTAGCAGTAGCGGTAGCGATAGTGGTGGCAGTGGCATGATGTAGTGGCAGCGGTGCTGGTGGTAGTGAGTTTATAGTAGTGTATATCAATACGTATGTTTAGTATTTATAAATTCAGTCATAATTAATTAAGTTTTATATTAAAATTTTCTTAAGTTTTAACTTACATTTTAAGAGGCACTTAAATTCTTAAGTAATACCAATTGTGATTATCAAATGAGATTAATTAATTATTGAGCATTGCTATTAACCCCTACTTTTCGTCTTAGAATCCCCACCTCATTTATTTATTTATTTTAATTCCAATGTTGTCCCAATCTAAAATTCCACTTTTACCCTCATTTCTAATCTTCTAAACCTAATTTTCCAAACTCTAACTTAACCCTAATCACCTCTGGCAATACCACCATCTCCAACCACCTCTAATTGCTGCAACCACCACCATTTCCGACCACCCCTCATCACTGCAACCTCTACCATCTGTGACCACTCTTCACTATCACAACCACCACTCCTTCCGTCTATCTCTCATCACTGTAACCTTTACCATCTGTGACCACTCTTCACTATCATAACCATTACTCCCTCTGTCTATCCCTCATCACTGCAACCTCTACCATCTGTGACCACTCCTCACCATCACAACCACCACTCCCTCCATCGTAATCAGCCATTACCTCTACCGACAAGCACTCCCATCCCCTATTGCAGATCTGAGTCAAAGAAGAGAGATCGACCCATTCAGCACTGTGTTGTCAAACTAAAAGGATTCGCTCAGCACTATGTTTCCAAACATTCAGGATTCGTTCAACACTGTGTTACCAAACATTCAAGATTTGTTCAGCACTGCGTTGCCGAACCCACTCCACCATCGTGACCTCCCTATCCATTGTGAGAGAGAGCAAGAGAGAGAGAGAGATGAAAACCTAAGGTAGCATTTGGTAGAGTTTTCTAAACATGATTTGAGAATAGAGTTGTATTTTGAATTTGTGAGTTTTGAAATTATAATTTGAGTGTAGAAAATTTGTTTGGTTATGAGTTGTTAAAAGAGTTTTGAATTGAGTTTTGAGTTGAGTGTTGAATTGAGTTTTTAATGTTTGATGTGACATATGAAATAAGAAAATTTGTTTGGTAATGAGTTTTGGAAAGAGATTTCAAAGCTTAATTCAAATTGTTATAACTCATAACCAAATACATTACTCAAAACTCTATTGAAAATTTTGATAAACACTCATAAGCGAACTCGTTTTAAAATTCAATTAAAAAAAACTAATTATTAACAGAAAATAACATTAATCAATTTTTTAAATTGAAAATATTACAAAGGCAATAATTTTTTTTTTCAAAATAAATATTCAACAGAAAATTAGTCTACAATAGCACAAACACGTGTATGTATGAATGAAAGAGTTACCAATTTATTTCTTAAAAAAAAAGAGAAAAAAAAAGAGAAGCCACTGAAGCGGTCAACCGGCCGGACATCTGGGAGGATGTCCGGGGGGACGACCGGTAGACTAAAAAATTCAAAAACTGTACGAAAATGTGGGAGCATTGTGTTGGAAGTTTGCTTTGGAATGAGGTTTGCCAAACGTGAAACAGAAATGTGTAGTGGAATTAATTTTTGAAAACCCCATCCAAATGCTTTGTTCACGTGAAGAGGTGGAATTGTGATTAGGAAGCTGTACCAAACACAGCCTAAGGTTTTCAAAAGAAGATGAACAAGGAAAGAGAAGAGGGAGAAAGAATGTAAGAAATCACTCACCATAACCTGTGATAGAGGTTTTACTGGTGGTCACTGTTGATGGGTCTTTTCTCTTGCTCTGTTTCTCACTCATACTTGATTTGAATGCAAGAAAATAAAGAGAGACACCAGATTAGAGAGAGAAGTAGAAGGGGTTAGGGTTTGGGTTTGGGTTTGGGTTTGGTTTTGGGATTAGGGATATAGTTGGTATTAAAGTGGGGGTTCAAAGAAAAAATATAGGGGTTTCATTTTGCTGAGTAGGGGTTTAAAAAAGTGAGTGGACCAAAGTAATTAGGTGGGGGTAAATATCAGCCTTCCAATTATTACTGTGGAAGGTAGAAAGATTCTCCACAGGAAAAGCAAGATGAGATTCTCCTTCCTTTACTCTGCAAAGAGAAACCAACTTGTTAGTGATCACTCCCGACTAGGAATGGTCGGGAGGACCCTTCGACAATCAAGTCAGAAATATGATTGGCCATATAATATTTGGTCAGGAAGAAAGATTTTCTTTTCCCTTTTTGTTCCCTCTTTCGCTTTTCCTTATTCTTCCTTTTATAGTGTTATTGTCTTGGCCTCAGCTGTTAGATTGGTATCTTCATCTA